GTCGGTGTGGTGATCTAGTTTGTTTCGAGTGCGCATGCGCATTAGCTCACGCAACCTGAAAAAAAATATATGATTTTGTTTGATTTGAACATTTAGAAACAAAACATATGAGACAGCTGTTGTTTAAGTTCATTGGTGATTCCAAATATGTACTGTAATGTAATCTTAAGCTTGGCTAACAGGAGAATTTGATGTCTCCTTATTCAGACAGAATGGCTGAGCATACTGCCCAAGAGGCGTTTCAAAGATGACCACTGAGTAAAATTACTTGCCTTTAGGGACTTTGGCTAAACTCTGCAGGACAGTGGACAGACCTCCCTGGTTGTAGAGAACAACTGAATTTGGACTGGACATACACACTCACAAAAGCACAGAGACATTTTGGGAAAATTGGGATGACATGATGGTATGTAAATTATAAAATGTTCTTTTTTTTTTAACTGATCCCTTTAACACAAACTTCAAGGGATTAGATGTAAAATTGCTGAGCAAGTTGATGAATTATTCATGCTTCGCTCCACCTGCACAGAAAAAAAGTGTGTGCGAGTGGTCATATGTAGGAAGTGAGGCTAATTTGCTGGACTAACACGATAGAATCGCTATAGGCATTCCTACAATCTTCCCATATCAGCCACTGGATGCCAGTATAGCACAGACAGATATCCTGACTGCACCCTTATATCACGGTTTTCAGATTTTCCAAATAGTGTGTGTTTTTTTTTAAAACCATACGTGACCAATTAAAACTCGCTGAGCTTTAGGGTGATGCATACTGTCAGTGTGCAACATACAGTGCAGGTAAACACTTAACAGGCATCTTCTGCAGTCATAAGCTCAAGATTTGTGTTGGCAGTGAAGTATCAACTTCTGCCATTCCACCAGCAGCTTGTCAATTTCTCCAAGCACTTTGGAGGCAATCCTCAGCTCCTTTCCCACCTGTCACCCGCACACTGTACCTCTCGCCAGCCGAAGGGTAAAAATTCACTCACACAAGGTAATTGTGTCAAAGTACATGTTTGAGCAGCGATAGAACAGATGTATCATTTTCCTGTGTTGCCTTTCTTACACCTCCACAATTTGTCTCTGAACTTCACCTTCGTAACACCCACAATGTGTTGCCTCAGAATGTCTCAGTGTATGTGTCGAAGCCTGTGCAGAATATGAACAGTAGCTGCGGAAAGAAGGAAACGAATTCATTTGCATTGAAAGCCCAACTTCAGTTGACGATGGATCCTTTGTCAAATTTAGCAAAGAGGCTTTTTCCATTCCAGCCGACTGGCTCTGTGAGGAGACAGCTGTTTTTAATGCAGGGGCAGCGTGGGTCACAACACTGATATTTCAGTAGGTCAGCCGGCTGATAACGCTTTCCAGCAAAGGCTTGCCCACTGGGGTTGTTTCCATTACTGTGTTTAAAGCACAATAGAGTAAATCCAGTCTCCCCGACTTTTCCTTAAAAGGTTTATCTTAATAATGTGTTTCAGGAGAGGTCAGAGGTCAGCCTGGCTCCTGGCAATCTCAAACGCTCGCTTACAAATCACTGCGGAGTTTCAGCCTATACTTTATGGACACCAGCTGATAAAGGTTTTGCTTTTAAAACACATCTTGTTTGTGCACCATCCCAAGATTTACTTATATATATATTATTAGAAATTCTAAAGTTATGCAGATTAAAAATACACAGTGCAAAAAAATATAAGCGACTTGTCCACATTAATAAAACATTTTGGTCTTTTAAATAAATTCAATTTTTATTAATTAAATTTCTAAGTTGTACATTACTTAGAATTTCATATTTTAATTACTATCATTCATTCATTTTCTTTTTCAAATTAGTCCCTTTATTAATCTGGGGTTGCCATGCCCTTCCAGCTGCAACCCATCTTTGGGAAACATCCACACACACTCATTTAGACTCACACTATGGACAATTCAGGGTTGCGGCTAAAAGGGCATCCGCTTCATAAAACATATACTGGATAAGTTGGCAAGTCATTCCGCTGTGGCGACCCATAATTAATAAAGGAACTAAGCCGAAAAGAAAATGAATGAATAAATGATTAAATGAAAGTTATAAAGTCTTAAACATGGAATTTTTTTCTCCTCATCTTTTCCTGCAAATAAATACTCTAAATTAACAATCTTATTTGAAAATGTGAAGCCACATTATCAGTAGTTTATAACATGGATATAAAAATATGACCTTTTAATCAACATGCATTTCTTTTAATTACAGAAAATAAAGTGCCAAAACATAATATAAAGCCAAAACATTTGGTAAAATAATTAAAATGTCCAAATATATTTTGGTTTGGTCAAAAACTATAAATAAAAGATAAAGATTACACAAAAAAAGTCTAAGCAAGTATACTAAGGCCCAATCCCAATTCTACCCCTCAGCCCTTCCCCTTACTCCCTTATGACAATAGTTTTTTAGCTTGAAGGTGTAGGGCTAAGAGGAAGGGCTGAATACCTCTTCAAATGGAAATTTTTCAGGAGCACACTTGAAACCAAGGGATAAGAAAATTTCCCAGAATACACCTGCTACAACGGCACTATAGCTGCACCCGGAAGTCGGGAGATGCACAAATTAATGTTTTTTATTTTTTTTGTCATTATTATGAATTTTTACAACAAACAAACATATGTTTAAAAACACTCATAACCACGTTCATGTTTTACTGTCACGTTTTTAAAAAAAAAAACTCTAAAACAGAAACTGCTAAATTTCGCTATCTCTAATAATAATTCCTGTATAGCAGTCCCACAACATTCTGACACTCGATGATACTCGAAAACCCTGTCAGAAATGTCTAGTTGCTGGGAAAAACCTTTTTACAGTGTCTGCTAAAATGTTAATGTTGTCTTTGTGTGTTTACATAGATTAATATGGCCACGGTGTAAATGCACAGTATGGTTACAATCTTATTGCTACATTATATCGTTATGATAACATGATGATATATGCTTTCAGTGATTTCCTAAAGATGAATACCAAAAAATAACGCAACTGGGATAACTACAGCAGTTGCGATCGTCAGTCTCATATGAAGCATAAGATCGCGATGACATATGATGACGTGTACATTTGCTGTAGTGGTGTCCCATTTCTTAAGGGGGTAAATTTTGAAGCCCTTCCCCTTCACACTCTGTTTTAAGGGCCCAGGGGAAGGGGTACAAAAATAGAATAAGGACTGGGCCTAAATGTATTGGTCATTCATTAATTTTCTTTCGGCTTAGTCCCTTATTTATCAGGGTTCACCACAGTGGAATGAACCGCCAACTTTTCTGGCATATGTTTTATGAAGCGAATGTCCTTCCAGCCACAACCCAGAACTGAAAAACACCCATTCCATACACTTTCGCATTCACACACACACACATTACAGCCAATTTACCAACTATCAATTCACCTATACTCATATGTCTTTGAACTGAAAAGCGGAGCACTCGAAGAAACCTACGCGAATACGAGGAGAACATGCAAACTGCACACAGAAACTCCTACTGGCTCAGCCGGGACTCGAACCAGTGACCTTCTTGTTGTAAGGCAACAGCGCTAACCATTGAGCCACTGTGCTGCCCAAATGTATTATTATATAAATAAATAAAAATAACCAACTTAAAAATTGAAAGCGGCCAAAACATTTTTGATCAATACTCCAAGTCCTATAACATTTCTCTCCAACCGGACACAAAGCTTGCTATTTTTGTTGATTCAAAACACTTCCTCACCCTTCCAAAACATCTCCAACAAGCCCTCTCTCTAGGCATGACTGTGGCCACGCGGCTTATACTAAAAAAATCTCCTTTACTCCCTTCCTTTCGAATCTGACTAATGCATATGGACTTCGTTATCCGTTTGGAAAAGCTCCAATCAGGCCCGGATTGGCTAATCGGGAGGACCGGGAGAATTCCCGGTGGGCCGGTCCGTTTTTTGGCCGCGAGGGCCGGTGTCCCTAGCTCCAGAATCTGTTGCTCTCAGCAGTCACACTTTTTAAATTAATTTATTTATTTACTTGACCACAGTCTTCTTATTCATTATTTTACCGCAGCTCTACTCTTTTTATATGTAACCAGCCTGCAGGTTAATGATGATATAACTCAGATGAGTCACTTCTCTATATACAACTGTTGTGGTCCAGTGGTTAGCACGATAAATTACGATGCTGCCGACCCGGGTTTGATCCTCGACTGATTATGTTATTATTATTATATATATTTTTTTTTTATTGTCAAGACATATAATACTGTTAGGGTTGTTGAACATTTAAAGTTCTAAAGCAGCTGTTTTCTCAAAAAAAGACGTGATAGAGTATTAGAAACTGAATTGGAAATGACCTTATTTTAATATAGTCCGTCTTGAACTGAGGTGGGCCAGTCTGAGGCTTGAAACTCCAGGGCTGAAAAAGAGTCCAACTCCGGCCCTGGCTCCAATTTATGAGGTCCAACTCTAATGGAAAATTCTTTGCTAGGAACCATTTCTTGGATACTTAGACCTGAAACGTGCTCAATCGAAATCCAGCACCCCTTATGAAAACTGACTGGCACACTACCTTATAGGACTTTTTTGATGTCTTTGTAACACTATCTCCAACAGCTGAACCCACATGTATGGCTACTCATATTATATTTACCTGCAAAGTGAATATATTCTGAGACAATGTTGTTTGTTTGTTCTGTTGGGTCACACTTTATTTTTATTTTTGGATCCGTTAGTTGAATTTAGGTTACATTGCAACTAATTCTCATTATTAAAAGTAGACTGTTAGGTTGGGGTTAGAATTACAGTTAGTGTAAGTTAACATGTATTTGCAAAGTGTCTGTTAAAGGAGCAGTATCAACAGATATTAAGCAGAAAGTCTACTATTACTCAAATGGACTATCAAAATAAAGTGTTACCTTCTGTTGTGCTTTAAAAACCTTAAAAGTGTATATATATATATATATATATATATATATATATATATATATATATATATATATAAAGTTAAAATTGCATCCAAAAAAATTCTGCTAGTTCAGCAAACCAGAGTCAGCACAGAGAGAAGCATAATTTGTTTACAGATGGCGCTTTCAGATTTTGTTATCTGCACTTTGAAATTCATACATTTTTGAAGCGTCCGAACACATTTTGAGTGCCCTAAAACGGCCCTTTCTCATGTTCAGTTTAATGCACCCATCCTTCATTCAATCATTCATACACATTACACAGTTGTGGATCGTTCAAGAGTACATGTGTTTAATTAAAGCGAACGGCAGTAGATTACATGGGAACCACTTTAGGTCTGAATTAGTAATGTGTGTTAATTATGCATGGTGTGCCGGCTGTTGAAAAAGTGAAGATTAGGGCCCGCTTGGCCTTACAACACTTGACGAGCATGAGGCTTCTCGCCGCGTCTGCGCACCGGCTCTGTGGGCTGGTTTTAATTGCATCAGGCATCGCCCACAGCCAGAGCACTGGGCAAGGAGCATCCCGTCTTCTCTGCCTAATGTCTGAGATGCTTTGGAAAGTTGTTGGTCCCTGTGCGGCCGCTGAGTCATTATGCCGGGCAGTGCTTCTCTGTGGCTTTGTACATTTTCTCCGCATTGATGTTCTTTCATCTCTCCCCTTCTCCCTGTTTGCTCCTGTAATGGAAGAGCGTGATCAATTCTTGCTCTTCCTGTTCTGCAAAAATGCATTTTCATATTGTTTATCGTGCATCAGCGGGAACAGCAATTGGGCAGACTGATTCATATCTGTGAGGGAAATAAAAACCGCTCCTTCACGATGGGCTGTAAAATTGAATAATATTTCCAAACCTTCGAACCTATTATTTTTCTTGGAGTGGTTGTAAATGACCAAATGTACTGTGAAGTCAAATGTGCGCTTCACTCAGCATCTGGAAGACACAGACAGTCCATTCAGTACAAGTTATTTAGGATTTATTTCAACTTGTGAACCACAAATATTTCAACTAAAAAGTAGGATAACAAGTATTCATTACCACAAATAAAAAGCAAAACGAAATATACATTTGAGCTAAAAATGTCTTTTTATTTTGAATATAAATAAAGAAAATAATATTAACCTTATTCTTTAATGACATGACAATGACACATACGGACCCTGAGCATGTGCCAATCATAGATATATGTATATATGTGTATATATCTCTGGCTCTGGAAGGCCAGTCCTTCACTGCACCTTGCTCCCACATTCATTTCAAAGGAGCACTACCCTGTACTAAAAGGGCAGCTTTATTGATGCATTCCTTCCAATAGACAACAATAGTGTAGGAGTCATCTAAATATCTATGGTTTTTGTGACTGTTTTAAAAATTCCGATTCAGCTGCCTATGGGAAAAATTACTAGGAATAATAAACGGCAAAAAATGGTCTAACTACTTGCTCTACAAACAAGTGTGTTCATGACAATACAGACAAAGCAGAATAATATAATAAGAAAATATCAGTCTGCAACATCAAGCAGCATACCGAGCTGTTTTTAACATGTAAAAATGAATGGCAGGGAAGAAAAATATTGAAATGGCTGCGTCCGCTTGTACACGAAAAACAAGGTCAATACATTTGAGCTAAAATGTACATTTTAATTTGAACATTATGCTATCTTTATAATAATCCAGGCGCGTAGCCAGTGGGGGTTCATGTGGTTCAAAAGACCCACCCCCACTGACAAAGTCCAGAAAATGACCCCTATATCAGCCCATTTATCCCATTTTTGATTGCTATGCCATCATATATTGTAAAAATTATTGATAGAAAAAGGCTTTAAGACAAATTACATTTTTAATTATTTAAGTGGCCTATTTACTGAGGAAAGTTGAATGAGCTGGAAAATTGTAAAAAAAAATCTGTGGATTTATGCAGAATGATTTTGGAAGTATCCTAACTAAAAATGTAATATGTTAAATAAAAAATATACATTTTTACTTTTATTTAAATGTTTGAAATGCAAATTATATTAGATCCATTCATTTGGTACACAAAGCAAATCTCTTATATAATATATCTACCGTAAATCTACTAATAAAACAGAAATGACTACTTCACAAACTGTATTGTAAGTAAATCATATGAAGGTTTTCACATTAGCCAGTAATATTACTGAAATTAATTTAAAAACTGAATAAATATGAATTTATACACATTTACACACAAATAAATAAACAGACTCAATGATGGGCTGAATATCTGCAGAAGTCTTGGGCCTACCTCAAGGCTATAGTTTTACGAGACTCCGTTTTTCTTAGTGAGTGATAATAATAAATTTGTACTGGAAAATAAATATGTTTTCATGTTTATTTATTTGTTCTTTTTTTAATGCTAATCTCATAATAAAATTTATAAAAATGGATTAATTTATAGTTTAAATTAGGGGTGCGCAAGCTTTTTCTTATGAAGGGACAAAAATCAAACTTGATTAGGGCTTGTGGGCCGAAGGTAAATATAGTTGCTATTGATATTTTCCTAATTTATTTAACAATATTTAAGAATGACTAGAAAACACTGCTTTTTATTAACTAATACAGTATTTTTTACACATTTTAAAATGAACTAACAGTAAAAACAAAGTCTCATCTCAACAGAATTACACTAGCATTTGCCTTGATTTGCTCGCCGATGTCTTCTGCATAGTCCTCTATTCGTCGAGTGACAGCATTTTTTATTTTTTTATTTTCTGTAGCTCAGCAATAAAACAAAAGAGGTTATGTAAAAAAAAGGTGATGTCAAATTAGAAAAGACGATCTCTGTGTTAAAGGCATTTGCTCCAACACTCTCCTTCATTCTCATTCTCCTCTTAGTTGGGATGGTGGGCCAAATCAAAGCTTACAATGGGCCCACAGGCCCTACTTTGGGCAGCTCTGGTTTAAATCCATATTCGCAAAAAAATACTTTGTAGTAAATCAGTATGGTAAGCACTTTGACGAAATTGTAGGAAATATTTTTGTTGCATCAAAAAAAGTGTGGTTATGATCACCATTCAACAAACGGATCCAGCAAAGATTAGTTCTTAAAATGTCACTAACATGAAAAATTCAATAGAAAATGAGGCGAATAACTGCAAAAAAGACCACTTTTTCAGAAAAAAAAACACCCCTTTCAATAGGCTGGCTACGGGCCTGATTACAATAGACAAAGGAATCAGCCTAGCAACAAGATGAATGCTGTAAAAATATTGCTGCAATATTAATTTTCAAGGACAGATGTTACTCAGTCTGCATGGTGTCGGGTAGGCAGAAATGGGAACAAATACATTAAAATGTATTTTGATACAAATTATGAATACTTGCCTATCAGCAGTCGTTTGAAAAAAAAAATGCAGTACACACTACATTTTATTTTTATTTATTTTATTTAGTTTTCCAATTCCAAATGATTTTCCTTAAGGATTAAGACAGCAGTAAAATAATTGTCACTTAATCTTAAATCTAATCATTGTCAGAATGAATACACTGATCCTAAATTCAATTCAATTCAGCTTTATTTGTATAGCGCTTTTACAATGTAGATTGTGTCAAAGCAGCTTCACATAAAAGGTCATAGTCATTGGATCAGGGTAGTTCAGTTTTTAGTGTTTAAGTTCAGTTCAGTTTAGCTCAGTTCAGTGTGGTTTAAAATCCTTTCTGAGAGTCCAAACACCGAAGAGCAAATTCATCGATGGATAGCTCTACCGATCCCAAACCATGCAAGCCAGTGGCGACAGCGGAGAGGGAAAAAAAACTTCATTGAGGTGAGTGAGGAAAAAAAACCTTGAGAGAAACTAGACTCAGTTGGGCACGGCCATTTTAATTTCTCCGCTGGCCAAAAGTCTTGTGCAGATATTAAATATTGACAATTTTTTCTCCCATCTGTCTTTATGTTCACTTGAGACATAACCAAGTTTTATTGTTGACAACAACAACAAAAAAATGCAAATATGGATTAATAAGATCAAAAGCTTTCCAGAAATATAGTATATACTGACTATACAGGAATCTAATATAACTTTTTTCTCTCTCTGCTCTGGTATTTGATAAGCAGCCATTCTCAAAAAGCACATTTCTTCTATTATTACAAATCAAACAATTGAAACACAGAGCACATACAAAGATGTACACTCTAGAAGCACAATTGTGATTACATATGCTTAGAAAGTCTACATTAAAAAAACATCTACAGTTGAAGTCAGAATTATTAGCCCCTCTTAGATTTTCTTTTCTTTTTTAAATATTTCCCAAATAATGTTTAACAGATCAAGGGAATATTTACAGTATGTTTTAATTTTTTTAAAACCATTTTAAGGTCAAAATTATTAGCCCCTTCAAGCTATATTTTTTTTCGATAGTCTCTAGAACAAACCATCGTTATACAATAACTTGCCTAATTACCCTAACCTGCCTAATTAACCTAGTTAAGCCTTTAAATGTCACTTTAAGCTGTATAGAAGCGTCTTGAAAAATAACTAGTCAAATATTATTTACTGTCATCATGGCAAAGATAAATTAAATCAGTTATTAGAGATGAGTTATTACAACTATTATGTTTAGAAATGTGTTGAAAAAATCTCTCCGTTAAACAGAAATTGAGAAAGAAATAAACAAGGGGGCTAATAATTCTGACTTGTTTGAATAAAAGGCAAATAATTTCTTGGCAGGACATCACTTTTGGCCTCTACTGTATGTAATTAGTCAATCCTTATTAATGAATTGATGTCAGGTTGTGAAGAGACCTTCAGCAACAATAATAAAAAAAAAGTTTGGGACAAAATGCCTAAACTAGACAATAGCACTGTGTAATAATAAGAAATATTTTAGATTTCAGACATTTTCTAGGTCGCTGATCAAATAAGCAAATTTGTACCCTTAAGCATGTGAACTCTCTCACATTTTTCTTACTTCAACTGAAGCAAGAAAGATGCTCGCTGAAACGTTCTCAGATAATGCTGGAAAACATGAATCATCACTTGACAAGTCACGTCAGTTCAAACCCAGTCAAAAGTGGCCATGTCGCATACACTAAGAATTCAAGGAGTTTCTCTACAGTCATAATATTGTTTGTGACAAAACTGTGTGACCTCACTGAATGTTTTCAACTTTATGAAGAGCATCTCCACTAAACAAGTACATTTCTCTAAAGCTACATTCAATGCCTGCTTTTTAAACTTGACTTGAATAGTAGAAGTTAAAGATTTAAATCTATGCATGAATGTATACAGTGAAGGACCTAAACAATTATTTGCATGCTGACTTTCTTTCCCACTTTAAAAGATGTGCAGAAAAAAAAAATCTTTTTGCATTTGAAATGGTGCTCCTGAAGCACAAGGTAAAAGTGAAAATAGTTGTGTCTCCTGTGCATGAGTGCTGGAATAAATGAATCGGTAAGTAGTTTGTTTGTTGGGGTTTTGCTCTGTAGTATTGTGGAGCACCTCTCTCTGTAAATTAGGTCCCAATGGAGCACTGCATCACCATCTCCAGCACTGATTGTGCAGCTAAAGCTCCTACACCAGAACTACACTCCATTCACACGAAAGGATCAACTCTGTCTCCTTTATGTTACCCTAACTTTTTTTTTTCTTTTAATTTGCACGGTTTGTACGCGTCACTCCTGCGAAATCAATTTTACATAACAAGAATGCTGCAAAGATACGCAAGATTGCATTCTCACCTGGTGATGGAAACCCTGGGATTTCTCCATTCTCCAGGGTCGATTTTGCTCCCAAGAGTTTGTGAGGACTTTTCATTCTGGTTTTAATGGGAGCTCCAATCATGTCAGTTTGGCCTCGAGGGACAACCTATGCACCCTATCACATCGCCCACAATCCTTCAGCGATGCACTGAGAGGGAGAGAAAAATGAATATGCCAGGACTGCAGCTGGGGATGATGAATTATATTTGAGATATGCAGACAATTTACCTGAGTGCGGTGCACATGGCTTGTGCTTTTCCTCGTGTTCCACAGCATGTTTGTGGCTAGACACGTTTTGTAAGCAACGTTCGATCTCTTGTGGCTTATCAATTTCACAGACGACAGATTCTGACGTGTGTACGTTCTCCAGTGTCTTGCTCTGTATATATATATTCCTCTGCAAATAGGTTGGCGGATTAGTTGATGCAATCGGGTAATACAGTGCTCTCAGCGCTGCAAAAATCCCTCAACAATGACCGTATGAAAGTTAGCTTGCTGGAAAAATAGCAGCTTGTTTCGGCTCCGGCGTTATTTCTTTCAGGCTCCGGCTTCCAAATAGGACAGAAATACAGAGATCCGACGGCTCTGCAGAAATATAATCTCAAGCTGTGATTTCTTTTTAACTCAATGTTCTGGTATTGCCTTGAGATAAATACCCCTCTCCCGATGCAGTCCACCGTCTCATCCTTGTGATTTACAACAGCACGTTGTTGCCTAAATTAAATTACTCCTCGGCTAAACACTCAAACCCGAGTCCTTATTTAGTTTAGCGGTGACACTAATGTGCGGAGAGATGGCGGCGAGCAATACTCATAACTCCCAAGCGCCTGCGAACGCAAGCTCTCCTTACCCCGGTGCAGATGGAGCTCGTGTCCCAAGGCGCCTCCAGGCCTAAACCCGGGCCTGCCTGGACGACTGATTGAATTTGGGCCTAATTTCTGCCACTCGGGCCTGTGAGCAGGCTGTAAAGATCCCGCTGCAACCCGCAGATTAGAGCCCCACATGGTGCCTTACAAATCACTCCCACAGCGAGACTGCGTGTGCGACTGTGTGCGTCTGCCGCAAGAACATTAGATTAATTAACGCTTCTGTGTTTGGCACAATTGGAGCTGCAAATGTTAGCATAGTGATTAGGTTTATCTGGCATTTATGTGATAAATTGTAGGTTTAGGACACGCACAACTGTGCTGGAATTAAGTGTGGCGCATAACGGCCAAACGTGCAAGTTGGCGCATCTCTTTATTCTTGTGAAAATAGCTTGGTGTTTTCACAGGTGGCGTGTGTGCGGATGAGTCAATGTTTGCAGCAGCAGCATCGTGCACGTCCTTGCTTTTATATCTGTATGGGGGAGAGGATTTCTCTTCAAATCTTGCATCTCATTTGCGCTGGCGGAAGTTGTGCTGCAGAATGCTGTTTTCTCCCTTTGGAAGGCCGGACACAGATCATTTAGCTTAGGATTTGCTATGCAGACTAATAAGAAGCCATGATAGGCCCTCTGACAATACAGTAAATTAGCTCATCGCTGCATCTTCTTATAGCCGTGACTAGAAGTCCGTGTCTAAGACGGAATAATTATGTCAGATTAATCCATTATTATCCAAATGTTGCCTGTTGGAAAGAGATGAGATGCACTGTGCTCTGTATATAACGCGCCATGCTGCTTCGTTCTTTGGGTCAATGACTAATAATTTGCTAATGTTCTTATTAAGTTATGCAAATGTTATTTCTGAATGTTTATTGACTATTGAAAACTAGTTTGTGGAACGTTCTGCAAACATCATGAAATTGTTTAACTTGTGAACTCTTGTATATTCTCTGAACATTCTGAAACGAGTAGTAATATAACTAAAAATGGTAGGTAAACATCTAAAAAGCTTCCATGATTGATGTTTTAATAATGTTATACATCAAATAAAATTTTAAAGGTGCAGTATGTAAGTTTGACACCCAGTGGTTGAACTAGGTATTGCATAACTAAATCAAAACAAACGCAAGCACAGGTTGCCAGAATGAGGACCAAAGGAAGCAAGTATAACAATCGAGCCTAACAGCTGATTTAAACCATGTTCTGAATAAAAGCAACGACACACAATTGAAGGAATATTCTCCATATTAAAGAAGTTTTTGTTCTAATCAACACTTCGAATTTATATATTAGAAGCAGCTTCTATTTCTCACAAATGAACAACAGAAAACTGACAATGGTCACCTCAAGTACACGTCATGTTCTTTTGGTCAGTGTTAAATGCTAATATTGATAGTATGAATGCCTTTTACATGACATTTATTGCCATATACTGAAAGCAGCAGCAGCAGTTTACCTCAGATCTTGAAAACAAAATAAATAGTTTGAAATTGAACTTAATAGCTGTGAAATAATGCAAACCAACACATGTCAGTGATTCATTATGTACATTTAATAATGTTAAAGCGGTTTAATATGTATAAACTAGATTATAAACTTTACCATTACAAGAGTGAGTGCATATTCTGTGATTCTAAACAGCTGCACTTAAATTTCGTCTGGTACAAACAGCCAAATTGCTTATTACTACAAATCTCCTCAAGTAGCATGTTGTTAGGACACGAGGTTATAATGTAACCTGCTCACCTATTGTTTGCGTTCGTAATATTTATATTATTTGCTAATAAAACTCCACCACTACTCTCCACCGCAGGTCGCATTTTAGCCTTATGCTTTAAGCGTTTTTGAATGAATAAATGAAATACGTGTTTTTCCATTAAGGCAACCCAGGGTGCTGAAATATAATTGGCCAAATTGGCATTGGGCGGGTTAAAGGAACCAAAACAAAGCCATCGTTCCGGCATGGAGAGCACATTTTCAAAGCAGAATAACTGACTTCAGCATTGTTTTTCAGCTAAACAAAAATGTTTGCTTGGCATGTTTCTTAAATATCTGCAAACATCTTATGGTATTTTTATGCTTTAGAAGAGTCTAAAACTTACACACAGCACCTTTAACCATTTATAGGACAATCACTAAAATACTGGGGTAAAAAAACCCTGGGGTAACTGGAAAATGTTACCAGTGTTACTAGGGTTTAAGGACCCTCATCCTTGAAAGATTTTAATATTTTGATGAACATTTATATGCACTTATGAATGTATTATATCATCTTTGCATCAAACCAGTTACCGCTTATGTGAGGTGTTGCTAATGCAGTGTCTATGGGGCTGAGGGTTAATTTGACTTTATTTTCTCCTCTGGCTGCCGTCATCAGTCTCACACACACAAAAAAACTTTTTCTAAAACTCTTGATGACACCATTGTGGAGTTTTTCTAGTTTTTCAGCAAATAGGATTGTAAAAAAAAAAATTGTTGTACTCTCCCATTCACTGCGCCTTAAGTTTACCCAACTATGATGCTTTCCGCTACTGAGAAAGCCGGAAATGTGAATTATAACTGAATTATAACTTACATGTAATGAAAGTTAAAGTAATGACCAATTACAATTGGTAAATGTGCAGAAAACTGTGAGAACATTGCATTAAGTGTTATCAGAAGTGCTATCAAAAAAAGATTCTTGTAGAGAAACATGTCAAAATACTTTGAAAATGCTACCCGTGAAAACAGATGTTAAAATATCCTTTTAGTTTGCTTCTTGGTTTAATCCAATGAAACCATCCATTAAAATCCATTCATCCATTATTTCTGTATCATTATAAGGTTCCATTGTTAATGTTCACTTTGAACTCAAGTAAGTGTACACAAATAGTGATTAAGAAAATTAGGCTGCCATTTTTTTCAGTTCAATTCAATTCATCTTTGTTTCTATAGCGCTTTACAATGTAGACTGTGTCAAAGCAGCTTCACATAGAAGTTTTAGTAAATTGAAACTGTGTCAGTCCAGTTTTTAGAGTTTAAATTCAGTTTAGTTTATTTCAGTGTGGTTTAATTTCACTTCTGAAAGTCCAATCACTGAAGAGCAAATCCATCAATGCGCAAAAGTCCCAAAACCAAGCAAGCCAGTGGCAACAATTATCAAAAATATAAAACTATTAACTTTGATAAATAACATTTTAATCAGCCCATACTTTAACCACCTGCTCTACAGATAAGTCATCAACAAATTATGCTTGAACACAAATCTATCCTCATTTCAGTGAGCCATATGTGCAAATGTAAAAGTACGGCAATCGCTTCGTATATGATTGCATTGTTATAACTACGTTGGTTGTAATCGAGCACTAAATGATGTGCTAGAACCGATTTTGAATGTGCTAGACGGGTTATCTCAACTCAAGTCCTATTGAGGCTGTGCTGTTCTTCCAACACGCGTGCTGTGAATGTAGAAGCGAAGCGCTGGCGTGTAAAACAGATTGCTAACTGTATCAGTGCATCTGCGGATCAAGGCATGCATTTAATGAGCGAATTACCCCTCCAAACATTTCTAATAACTGCATTCAAGCATCCTCCTCCCATTTTTTAAGCAATTAGGCCATTTTAAAGATAGCCTTATCGATCTGTGAATATTTGGCTTTCTTTTATTTGATAAAAGGCAATTAGCTTATCGGCGCAAAGCATGCCACCGTATGACAATCTGATAGATGGATACTCCCACCAAACACAATGCGGCCATCACGTCTTCACTGTCAGTGACAGGGCTTCTATTACAGCTACAAAAACATCCGCATCAATCATTGCCTCGGCACCTTTTAAAACAATAGGCCGGGGACTCGCTGGAAATGGCAAATCAGTAATTGCGGCTTCATTGTCAGGCTGGGGACAAAAACAGGGTCTCATTCTCAAACTCCCACCTCACTGTTTTGCGAGCTGATAAAGTTAATCCATCGCGCCGGCATAACTAATAACGCATAATCAGGGCTATTAGAGACGACTGCAAAGGAAAAAGGCTCCGAATGCAAGACGACTCCCTCTAGTAGAACTCCATGTGGAAAAAGGTGAGACGTCTGGCTGTTGTTTTGATGAGCTACTCCAAAAGCCAGAGTTATTCACATGTCGCTCCATACTCGCAGTGCGTCTGGGTAGCTTTGCGAATGTGTGATTTAAAAGAGCTAATTGATAAGGAGACTGAAGGAGGCTAATGAAAAGCACTTTGATGGCTCTCATTCTGAACGCTCCGTTACTCTGCTGTAACCTCAGGCCGCTCTGCAGTAGCAATTATCAAAAGCATGTAACCCGGTGAGAGCCATCTGCAGCCTCTAGGAGAGTCATCTTCATGAAATGGATTCAATTTTCCCCAGAGCTCCAAATAAAAGCCACGGCGTTGGCCAAAAAGTGGGAACTTTTAAGAGTTTTCATTGTTTCGTTGAGGGTGTTTTCTAGTCGTGCTAATTATCCGGCAATCGTACTATGGTTGGGCTGGGTGGATTGAAAGGAAGATGAGCTAACTAAAGAGTACAAGCAGGCAGATTCATTATTTAGGATGGAGTGGATAAATCTGCAGGTTCATCGAAAGACACTAAGAACAACGAATACACTGCCGCTCAAAAGATTGGGGTCAGTAAGATTTATTTTGGAAACAACGACATTTATAATGTGACAAAAGAGTTCTGTCAAATAAATGCTGTTTTTCAAACTTTTCGTTCATCATAGTGTCCTAAAAAGTAGATCACAGTGTCCAAAAACAAAACATTTTGAAGCACAAGTATTTTCAACTATAATAAAGTTGTTTACATCCATTTGATAAAGGTATTTTCTTAGTAATATGGTGTTTATGTAAAAATGTAATGTTTAAAGATTCTGTTTTCACTTATTTATATGTAAAAATATCAGTATTTTGTTTGCAATAAAAGAGTAGTATTAAAGGGATAGTTCACCCAAAAATGAAAATTTACTCACTAATTACCCTTGTGTGGTTACAAACCTTTATGAGTTTTTTTTCCTGTTAAATACAAAGGAATATATTTCGAAAAAAAAAAGGTTGTAAACCTGTAATTATTGACTTGCATATTAGGAAAAACAAATACTATATGAATAAATGGTTATAGATTTCTATCTTTTTACAAAATATCCTCTTTTGTGGTCGACAGAAGAAAGAAAGTCAAATAGGTTTTAAGCAAGTGAAAAGTAATTTTTGGGTGAACTGTACCTTTAAGATTACATTATAAATTGTTATAGAATAATAAAATATTGAGTGTGAATGAGAATATTTAGCAAATGGAGGCCTACCCATACCTGATTATTTTATATGTGCTTAGTTTGGTTCTAGTACGGTTATAACAATGTAAAAAGACTTGTAAAAATCTATGTAAAAAACAATGTAAAAATCCCTTTTAGGAAAGATCTATGGAGAAAATAATTTCAAAAGCACTGTTGAAAACATAGGAGGGCACTAATGTTTTCGGTAACACTCTATTTTGATGGTCCATTTGAGTATTAGTAGACTGTCTGCTTAATATCTGTTGCTACTGCTCCTTCAACAGACATTTAACTGACTATAAGAAACTTTGCAAGTACATGTCAACTTATACTACCCCTAACCCCAACCTAACAGTACTTATAATTTAATGAGAATTAGTTGGCCTGTATATTCAATGTAACTTAACTTAAACAAACGGACCATCACAATAAAGTGTGACCATGTTTTGTACGCTTAACAGAATGCATTTTTAAATACTTTTAAACATAAATTTGTTTGCTGTAATTTAATTTTTGTTTTACTTCATTTTCTAAACATCGAAACACTGATCAGTGGTTTATAATCAACATTTTATTAAAATAAGCTCTGTAATATTCTAAATGTGTTATTCCTTTATCTAGTTAGCAACACTTTGAGCTTGGGTTGCTAGTAACAGATGTATAGAGATATTGAAATCACAGGATAAACTACCAGATCAAAAAACAAAAACAAAAGAGAAGCCAAATCATCAGCAAAACATGCCATAATTAACTCAGACCACGCTTGTTATCATGCTCAAAAATGACCTCACTCAA